AGCTATGGCAGGGGTTATCACTTAAGACACAGCATTATTGTTACAATAAGTTTAGTGGCTGAGAACAGGAAGACGGCGGATGACTAACTTTGGAAATCGATAGTTTGATAGCTTTGGGCTGTGTTAATTATGACCCTACCAATGAACTCTGATTTCATTTACATGTCCTCTTGAACAGCATAAATGTTTCCAAAATGAGAGAAATACCTTTAGCACATTAGTTAATATCGCAGCAAGGGAAATGACTGCTTGCTATATTCTCAGTAGGCATCTTTACATGGAAGGATGTAAACTGACTCTGAATTATTTATTGAACTAAAGACATCAAATTGGACAATTAACCTTGAAAACTTAAGTCCCCTAAAAGGAGGGCCCTGAGCCTTCTGAAAATGTGTCCTCCGTAAAAGGCAGAGGAACAAAACACAGCAGGATCTAGCACCGTCAGTTGCAAGGTTCAGACCCGTTATGGGAACTCGTGAATGTCTGTCCCAGTGGAAAGAATAGCTTTAGTGATAATCTGGTGGTAATGTAGCATTGTAGTGATCAGGGGATAAGGATAGTCCAAGGGTTAGGGTATTAGTCTGGAACTTGGACACTGGAGTTCAGTTCCTTGCTCTACCACAAACTTCTTGTATGACCTTTGGCAATTCACTTCGTGTCTCTGGCCCAGACCCTCCAAGGTATTTAGTCATCTAATTCCCATTCATTTCAATAGGAGTTAAGTACTTAAATATCTTAACAGATAGGGAACAGAGATACAAAATGGGAATAATAGCACTGCCCTATCCCACAGGTGTGTTGTGAAGATAAATAGGTTAAAGATTATATGGTGCTTCCAATACTATGATATTGGGGACTGTTTACACGTCAAAGATAGAGCAAGGGATCCATTCAGAACCAAATCCTGAGATTTTTATGTAGTCCAAATTCTCATTGACTTCAGTGGGAGCTTGGCTAAGTAAGATTTGAGTAAAAACTGAGCTATGCGAGGTTTGGAGGCCTGATCCAAAGCCCACTGAAGTCAAAGGGGGTCCATCCACTAATTTCAGTAGTGTTATCCCTTGAACTTCTGCTAAACTGTACCATTTTGTTGCTACTACGAGTTGGGTGATGAAAACTGCAGAAGGTCTAGACAATTTAATCCTGTTTAATTTCCTCCACTGAGGTGTTCTATCCTCACTGATAAAAGTCTATAACTTGATCATTTTTAAAATATTGTTCCTTCTAAATCTTTATGGCTCAAAGTGGACCGAGATCATTAGAAGTTACTTTATGTGCAGTTCAATAGGTTGCAAAGGGCTATTTCAATCACTCTGTACCTGGTAAGAGGAGATCCCATTTCCAGAGGCAAAAGGACACGACTTAATCACTGCCAAGCTTGTTAGGTGTTTTAACAAGTTATATTAAACTTCATCAGTGGGAGCTCTCTTGACAGATTAAAAATGATCCTTCACTTCTCCATTATTACAGGGCATCGTTTGTCTTCTTTTGTTTTGCCAGGCAGTTGCATGCCACTGTGATTTTACATGAAAATAGGACTGATATCACCCAGAAGTAATTAGGTTTTAAAAGACTTGATTGCAGTAGACACAAACATTATGGCTTTATGGTGCTACTGCATTGCTATCAGTTTTATAGTTTTTTGATTCTGCAAGTATTTCATAGATCTGTCAATCGGAATAACTTAGTTGACATTGACTAGGGCCATTAATGAGAGGGAAGCGTAATCTGCGTTCTTATATGGCTAAAGTTGCAACTGCAGTAGAAGCCCCACCCACCCAGCCTTGCTGCATCCGGTACATCACAGATCTTCAGTGTTTATCCATTTAAACAGACCCACTTTGAGAGATGTCCTGGGGTATCTCAGTTTTCAAGTAACAGGCCACTTATTATTCTTCCATCTCTTAGTAGACTAGAGGTTTGTTCTTTTATTACATATCTATTTAAATATCTAATGTTGTGTGTATAAATATTGGATGTTAATGCCCAGACAAAACATAGTTAGATCATTTCATCCTTTAATGGGGAGGGAGGTGTGTTATAAGGATTCATTGGCATATTGAAATTCTAGTAGGAGTGGGACATTGCATTTCCCTTCTTAACATCTCCATTAAGCAGAATGTTAGTCCAAAGAAAAAGCTTATGTGTTTTTAGTGATCGAGTTCAACAAGTCTGTGTTGTTTATATTCAAATATAAACTCCAGCAGTGTGGAATTAGACCACTAACATTCAAGGCAGTTCTGCTATAACTGAAGAACGTTGGGAGCTTTTTGCTGCACTGATCAGCACTGCAACAAAGTACAATATTGAGATGGTGAAATCCTGGCCCCATTGAAGTCAAAAGCACAACTCCCATCAATTTCATTGGGGCTAGGAATTCATCTGAAGTGTCTAGTGCTGATCCAAATCTCTGACAGCAGAGCCGGAAAGAAGGTATTACTTCAGAAGAATTTGCTTATAACCTGCAGCATGAAGCATTTTATAAAACAATCCACACCCTTTTTAAAGTTTATAGTTCTCTTGGCAAAATGTATCTCCTAAGACTGGATCAGTACTAATACTCTTTAATTTTCTTATAATAATTTAGTCTCATCAGATTCTCTCCCCCCCCAACACAACAATTGCAATATATTACCACTTTTAAATTCCCACTTTATTCCTCTCTCTCTTTTGATCTCAATTTTACAGTGAGGTAACCCCACTAATTTCAATGAAGTTGCTTCTGATTGACACCAGTGTAAGTAAGATCAGACTCAGGCCCATAGTAAATTGTGTGCCTTATCTGTTCATAGTAATCTGTGCCTTACAGTTGCCCTAAAGTAAAAAGGGCATGATTCTGCACTGACTTATGCGCTAGCTAATTCCAAGTCAATGGCATTGCAAATCCATGCAGAATTTGGCCCTGAAACTCCCGTGCACACCCCAATCTAGGTTGACTTGTAAAATCTCTCACGCTTCACATCAATCTCCCATTAGGCTAAGAATGAACAGTGATCTGGAAGCATGCCAAAGTTCATGCCGACTCGTTAGGAAATTCAAATTGCTTTAAGCACAGGAGCCAAGGAGCCTTTAGTTCATGCTGCAGAAACCGTCATGGACTGGACCATTCAGAAAGTGATCACCAAATCAGAATTTCATTCTGGTACAGGAGTTTCTGAACTAGACTTAAATATTTTGAGGGAAAGGGGTGAAAAATGACAGGAAAAAAATAAGCATCTAGGTAAGCATGTAGATATCCTTGGCCTAGGCCATGGAGCGCTTGGAAGATAAGGACTGCGATCAAAAGGAGGTTGGATAGCCATGTGTCTAAACCATCCAAGGCAGAACAAATCCTGCATCTTGTGAGGGGGTTAGACTAGATGACCCTTGCAGTCCCTTCTGACCCTATGGTTCTATGATTCCAAGTCAATCAAGTAGAGTAGTTTTCAGGTGTGCTCATTTCCTGCATTGTTGCTATAATGAAGGGAGTTCTGCCTTCCTGGTAATTTGTAGTAATTTGAGTGAGACTTGGGGGTTCCATTATTCTAGGAAGGAATACAGTGGCATGCCTAAGATCCTGTCTTTTTTTATCTGCTGATGGACACTGGATAATAGTTTGTTTGGCTCCTGATGAAAATAGGGGGCTGGTTTACACCTCTTTAAAAAGAGAATTCTAGACAGCAAACCCAGGAAGAAAAAGATTTAAATGGCCAGCAGATGAGCACAATTTCACTTGACCCCTGAGCTATCTCAGCCATTCCTTACACTGGGGTGTATTCTTATCTCATTGTATCACTTAACATCCATTAATGTGTATGGGAGTTATTCCAGCTCAGGGAGATACCCAAGTAAGAATTTCCATAAAACCTTGAGATTCAAGGTTTGAGGGTTAATTTACTTTAGGAGCTGTAATTCACTGACCAGGGAAGTTCCAGGTGTTAGTAGACAGAAATAGCAAAGAATCTCTCTAAAACTTGCTTTACTCTCAGACAGGACACTTTGGAGATATTTGATTTTACACTGGACTGAACTTTAATCTAGGAGCATGTATTCAGTAAAAACAGTAGGGTCTAGATCTTCCACTGGAGAAAATCTGCCTAGCTTTCTTGATGTAAACAGAATTATTGTGCCCACATTCTCAGTTGGTGGAAATCAGCATAGTTCTAATGACGTCAATGTAAATAACTGGGTTAGATCCTCAGCTAATGTAAAATCTAGCTCCATGGACTTCAATGTACTGCACTGACTCAGGATCTGGCCCTTTTCTTCAAATTTTGACTTTGGAAGTATGCACACAGGACTTCTGTTGACTTCAGTGCATCAAAGGGCAGATACAAAAGCAGATCTAAAACAAATCAGAACAGAAAGTTTTCCCCTGGGAGGATGTGGTTGGGAAGTAGAACCTGATGATGGGTAGAAAATACACTGGCAAGCAGACTAGCTTTTCCATCAACTACCCGGCTATCTTTGGGTAGGCGAGCATATAGCTAACATTAAAGGTATTTTGGAGGTTGTCAAACACAGGGCCCAGCCACACAGAAAACCCAACTTTCAAATACATCCTCAGATGTGCCTGTAGTGATGGTTTTGCAACAGGTGCCATTTAGAAAATGGAAAGTGCCTTGCTATTCAGTGCTGTCTCGTGATGAATTAGCACGTTATTTCTCTTGAGCCAGTTGCAGTTTGAGCACCAAAGAAGAAACCCTTTTTTGGCAGCAGATCCTAGGGAAATCACAATCAAGCCTGGCAATCAGTGGGTGTTAATAGTTTGCCTGTGCATTAATTAATGACTTTATCTCAAACTTTATTTCCAAGGCTAGGGGGGAGATCCCAGATAGATACGTGTTAGAAAGAACTGATTCAGCTCTACTAAATTCCATTCTTCATGTGTTCAGCTCACATCTGAGTGGGATTCCGGCTGTAATTGAAGTTAAGCACATGCTTCCGTGCTTTGCTGAATCAGGGTCTTTTGTGTAGTTCTCCATTTTGCATAATACAAGGTGCTGATATTTTTATCATCTTGCCTGTTGTATGAATGGAATCCTTCAATGAAAATACCTGAGAAGAGAAGGAACAGTATTAAAATGAAATGCTAACAGCAGCTCAGATTCCAACTCTCAGTTCGACATTTAGTTTATCCCAGTTTCTGGGTTACCAGCTTCCCAGATCCCTTTTGCAAACCATCTGTTTTCTATGCTAACCATCAAGTACTTATTCCTAATAATAATGCTTTGTGCTTCTAGGGCAATCATTTCAGGATCTAAAGCCTCAGTCCAGCAAAGCACTTAAGCACATGAGTAATTTAATTCATTGGTCAAAAATCAAAATGTAATGAACTTGTACTTTGTCTCGGAAATACAGGATCATACAGTCTTTCAAAAATCACTGAAGAGCATTGGAGAAACACTGTTCCAATTTTCCTATAAATGCTTGGTCTTCGCTAAAGATTTTGTAGTCCCAGATGAAAACCTTGTTTATAGATCTTCTTGGATGTAAGAAAACAAGTTACTAGGTTGAGGTTTATGCCATCCATTTCTACTAATCAAAAGAGACCACACGAATCGACAGTACATGTAGGATAATACAACCAGATGTGAAAAGAATTACCCGAGTTTGATGTAAATTTAAAAATAAACTTCTGATGAGGGAGTTGCAGTAGTTGCTCCATGGCCACCAGCAGATCGACAAAGAGACAAACACTTTTGGGACTTTGAACTAATTTTAGGCATAGTTCACAGGACCTCAGGACAGAACAGGTTACAAACACAGAATTCCCCAAATAAATAGAACTTCTGAGCCCAGTTGGTTGGAATTTTCCAAACATTTCTTCAGATTTAGTATTTGGATCTCTCCCTGCCCCCCGGAATGGGGCAAAAAGATCCCCAAAAAGGTGCAGGGGTGTGGGTGTGTTTGTTTCAACCAGCTGCAACCCTGATTGAAATTATTTGAATTTCAGAAGTTCATTGAAAATGTTTGACATTTTGATTTGGAAAGAAAAGAGAAGATGATTCAATAACATTTTTGTGGGTCTTTCCCCTGCCCCCACATTTATACTTGAACATTACTGCAGGAATGGTCACTTTAGGTTACATTTTGGAGAGACACAAGGGAATGATGAGTCTTAAAGAGCTCAGGAGACAGCCATAAGGTCTACATACTTTTCTGCTTCTCTTCTGGGAGCAGTAGCACACTGGTTTTCATAAATTCATAGACTTTTAAGGCCAGACTGGTCTATTGTGATCATCTAGTCTGATCTCCTGCGTAACATAGGCCCATAGAATTTCACCCACTAATTCCTGGATCAAGCCCATTAACTTCTGGTTGAACTAGTGTATGCTTCAGGGATGAATCTGTCTTTGAGGGGGTCTGTCTGTGTTGGCAACAGAATATCTTTTGCATGGAAAAAGAAATAGCAAAACATTGCCGCACCCTGCAAAGTTAAAATTTGCATTCTTTGGATCAGTTTTGAATTAGTCATAGGTACATTGGACTTGGGGGGTGATTTGGCTGTTAAAACCTTCCTCACACACTTTGATTCCTTTTTGTCTGTGTGCGCAGATACCGTTACCTTAAATGGATCCTGCTTAGAAGTTTCAGAGTAGCAGCCGTGTTAGTCTGTATTCACAAAAAGAAAAGGAGTACTTGTGGCACCTTAGAGACTAACAAATTCTGCATCTGATGAAGTGAGCTGTAGCTCATGAAAGCTTATGCTCAAAGAAATTGGTTAGTCTCTAAGGTGCCACAAGTACTCCTTTTCTTTTTGCTTAGAAGTTGTTGTCCCAACTGAAAATTCCCAAAATTAGAAATTAACTGAAAAATCTATAGAGCTTGTTAGTGCTACAGTGTTCCCAGACTGAGAGCAACAGTTCTTGTGATCTCGTCTAGCCAGGGGAATGATGGAATACTGGCCCGTACAACCAACAAGGAAAAATTAAACTATGAAAGTAAAAGGAATTGTTTTTTATTGATTCTGCCTGAGCAGACCAGACCAGACAGCGCAGACTGGGGGCTGCAGAAACCAGAGGATGGAGGCAAGCCCGTCTCTACTTCTCACAGCCATTATAGGGGGTATGTTTCCTGCCATTGTCCCCAGTAGAGAATTGGATTAACAACTGCTTTGCAAAAGGGGCCCTTTTTGGTCTGGAAAACCGGCTTCTCGGTAATGCCCCCCCCCATCTTATTTCTGGCAAAAGCTCAGTTTCCTTATTGACTTTGATTGACTGCAGCACCTCTGTCCAGCAAAGTATATTCTCTTTCTAAAGTGCTTTTAGCTCTGATGCCCAACTGGTAAAATAAAATAAATCCTACCTAATGAAATATGCTCTCATTTCTTTTGAAGAAGAAGAAGAAAAAAATGTTAGAAGAGAGCAACTAATAAATCTCTAATGAACTACAGTGCACGTAGCTGGTGTATAACTCACTGCATTTTTAGCAGAAAAGCCTAATCCCCCTTTCCATACCCGAAACTCCCATTCACATCAGTGGGAGTTGGGATTACACTTGTCTTTGCACTAGTGGGGTGGGGGAGGGGGACACGGACTTCAGATTCCATGGGCCTGATTCTCCAATCACTGACACTGGTGTACATTACAGGTAACTGCGGTGATGTCCGTGGTATTACAAAAGTGTAAAACTGGTTTGAATGTGGGAGAGGGAGGCTCACAAATTGCCCCAATCCTGCCAATTCACTAGCCAATTAGGGCCCTTTTCTGCCAATTCACTAGCCCGCAGCAGTTCAAAAGCCAGTGTAGCCAGTCACTGGAGATCATTCCTACATAATGGGATCCTCTAGTGGAATACAGCTACTATAAGAGTTCCTACACTGCTCCCTCCCTGCAGCTGGCATGGGGGTTGTGGCTATGGGAAAAGGGTGTGTCTATGAGGTCTCTGCATCGCAGCTGCTGTAATGGCCCCTTTGGCCTCCTGGCAGCTAGTGTAAATTTAGTGCTGCTCTACTGCCACTCCATTACCCTTGGGACCAGCCCACGGTCAAGGGAATGCAACCTGAGCTTAAAACAAGCCCCATTTTGTGTAGTGAGCTCCTCAGCCAGAGCCAAGGATCAAGGCCTGAAAGGGGGTAAGAAACCTCCAGGTACAATGGGTAGCAGGGTTTATTCCTATTGAAAATGGAGTTAGGCTGCAGAATTTAGCTCCAGGTCTGGATTTTTGACCATGCCAAAGCTCATGGTGGTTTGGATCTTGTGTTCTAGTTAAGCCAATTATAAAATTAGAGGCCATTAGCCACGTCTGTATCCATGTTTGGATTTCAGACCTTCCCCAATGGCTTTGAGTGATTTAGATCCAGCCTTTGTGTTCAGGTTCATCTCATCTTCCTGTTTGGTATTACATATTACGTACTGTAAGTGAAGGCAGCTTTAAGTATGTATGGGTGAGCCTCTAAGGGGTGGATAGTTTGGAAAAACCTTCAAAACTTTGGAGCTTGTCCAAAGTCCTTTGGATGCAACAGTCTGAAGAAGCAGGTTCTCTCCTGGGGTTTATAAGCTTTTCTGGTGGTGGTGTGGCTCTTTTTCCAGATGGAGAGATGCATGACACACCTCACTATTTTTAACTTAATCAGACTTATTGAGCCTCAAGGAGGGTTTTGGCTTGGTGCAAATCAGGAAAGAAGGTTTATGCTGGTTCTCATTTTACCCAGACCACTTCTCTCCATTTTAAGCACAGATTTTCCATAGGAGACATTGTACAAAAAGGTCCCATGTGAAAGGACAGCGTGAAAGTGCTTCGTGAATCTCAATAGCACCAGAAATCCCTACCTATTCCCATTCTTCCCACTCCACACACAAGAACAGTCTCACATATGCTATAAAGAATCCCGTTTTCCTCTTTACTTTCATAATACTTTAAAATAATGGTGCGCTGCTACTGAATTACAAAGCAATTCCCTTGGACGTACCCATGGCATACGCATTATTAATACCAAGTGAATCCACCATGATTTATGTTATCGTAGTGATTTTGCATCTCGTTTATTACCTTCTGGAGATCACTTTGCACTCTGCACTGATTTTTAAGGTAGCATGGAAATTACCATGTGAATCGTGTCTTCTAAATCAATGCAGCCTTTTCCTGCCTGACAATAAAACTCGCTTGCGCTTTTCAAGGAGGAGATATTAGTTAATGCTTAATTACTATGGAATGACAGGTGATAAGGACAATAGAGTCAAATAGGGGCATCGTGATTAAAGAGCCTTCAATAGAAATAAGTCATGAAACACATCAGGGCACACGTTATGGAATGAAATCCAGGCCTCATTGAAGTCAGTGAGAGTTTTGCCACTGACTTCAATAGGGCTAGGATTTCATCCTTTGTGCACTAAAAAAGGGGTGAGCTAACTCAACAATGTTTGGATTTTGGTTCAGATATTCTAGCCACATTGTTCAGGGAATCCAGCCTGAACTGGAAAGACACTGTGGCATGAGGACATTTGCGTGGCGTCAGCAGATTGTGTCGCTAATCTGCCAAATCGCAGGTGCAATGACACAATGCTTTTGTTAGATATCTAGGATCAATGACGGTGTGTCAGCATTTTAAAAAGCACAGGCTGACAGATAAGAAGACTGTAACTGCCCCCAGAACATGGCTGCCAGAACTCCCAATAGGTCTGAGTGGCTTCCTTTGACCATAGGACTCCAGTCTTAAATTCTCGTCATTGGTGACTGCCATTTCACGTTCATTTTTAAAAGATTGAGTTGTAATTTGCCCTAGAATTTTTGCAGTGGGTTCTGTTTAAGTATATCGTCCATGACAGAGCTGGGCAGATGGTTCCTGTGGTGATGAGGCAGACCTTTGCATTGAATTCAGAGAGTTGCAGGGATATCTCTGCGATCTGAATTTGAAACCCCTGAATGTGCAGGCAGCCTTGACAATCTAGTTCCCAAAAGAGGGATAAATAGCTAAGCAAATTGCAGTACCCATGTAAAGTTTAGACTTTTTTCCTATGTCATGTACCTTTAACCCTGGACTCCCCGGGGACTCTTCTGTCTGCAGAGACAGGATGCCATTTTTAATGTATTTCCTTGCAGATTATTTAAAGGAG